AGAATGTCAAAATAAATGCTCAACGAGAATGCTACCCAAAGATGATGTTGCCTTTTGTAAAACCTTAAAGAAATCACCATGGCTTTGCCGTTCTTTCATAAACATAGCAATGGTTTTTCCAAACGATTCGTATAATTTTATACAATACACAAAACTAGATAAGGTGAGGACTAAAATGTTAAAACAAAGTCATGATGAAATATTTGGGATTAACGGCCGTGCCTTCTACTTGAACCCAAAATGCTACAAGTCTCAGCCGATAAAGCCAGTGCAGGTTTCCTGACACCCACTTCCATCATGGGAGGTAATGATAGCAGATAGCATTGAGTGTCTACTCTCTGGCAGGCCCTTTGTTATATGCCTCACTTCTTAACACAACTTTCAGTTCAGTGTTAACTGTCCCCATTTCACAGAAGAGGAAACTGAGGCTGACAAACTGGAAAGGGACATGAAGTTGAACTAAGCGGCGATGCCGGCATCCCAGCCCTGGTGTCTGCCGTGCAGCACTATTACTCATTTCACAATCACAGTGCCGTCCGCAGTGACACGGACCAGTTTTAGAAAAAAAATGAACTAATAATGTTCACCTCAGCCTACATTTATGCATGTTGAAACTATAACGCCAGTAGAAGCACACCGTTCTCTTGGTTTTACTGCTTGGGTAAGGCTCTTAGTGCTTGCCCATTTATTAAAAATGTAAAAGTTGCAACAACAATAGGCTAGGAATACAGGGTTTAAAAGGAAGATTCATTTACATTTTTCAGTTCTTTAGTAGTTAAATTGAGCAGTAAAGATTTAAAAAAAAAAAAAAAGATGATTCAAGGAGACAGGGAGGGGAGAAAAATCAAAACTGAGACCCTAAGAGATTTAGAGAAATTATTTGGCCCTGTTTCTACAGCAATTGTCTCCAAAGAGAAATGCTAAAGACTAGGTGAGTTGTCAGGTGAACAAAAAGATTATTATCTACAAAATAGTGGCCTTTTGGAGGAAAATAGAATGAAAGAAGGGACTGGGGGAGGGAGAGAGGATTGTGTTCATTTCTCTTTGGGGACTTTGAGAAAGAACCCTTGTTTCCGAAGCCAAAGCAATATTCTCCATGCAAGAGAGGCAAGGAAGTCGAGTACTGTGCCAGCGCTGTAGAATGCACTGTGCTGCAAGACGGCTGTTCTTCCTTCTTCTTAAGAAAAACAGCCAATATCAGAACCAGTGATAATGATGGCAGCTAACAATTACTGAACATGCACCGAGGGCCAGGCACTGTGCTAAATGACTTACATATATTATTTCATTTAATTCTCATAACTTCATGAGCAAGTAGCGTTAAATACCCATTTTACAGTTTAGAAAGCTGAGGTTTATAGACATTCATTTGTCCAAGGCCATTCAGCTGATAAGTAGGAGAGCAAGGGTTCACATTCAGATCTGTCTCTCTCTCGAGCCTAGCTCACCCCAGAAAACCTGGAGGCAAGACAGAAGTCCACAGCCACACCTTCTTGGAGCTCCTCAACAACCTTAGGGACTTGATGGAAAAGGCAGCAGAACCCAACAAAGACATCAGGGCCATCCCGAGTAGAGGATGCAAGTTATCCAATGCCTGGCAGAAGATAGCACATCTTGGGGCAACTCTCAGAATTGGACAGAAATTGGTGGACCAGCACTTTCCAAACCCCAGCCTCTCCAGATTCTCCCTGTCCCCAGACTCTCTTGTTAATTCTCACCACCTCTTAGTTTCTCCCCCATAGGCTGAATCCTACTCATAATGGTGCAGATCTCCAGCAACCAGAAGAACACCAGAGAATCCTGTATCAGCTTAACAATGGGTCGTGTTTTCCCTGCGATAGGATGGACGAAGGGAGCAGGGCAAATTACTGCTTTTCATGCCTGGTACTATCACTGAAATTGTCCCAGGAAGGAAATAAAAACCCATATCATCACCATAGGAGACATTTAAGAGACTCAGATGACATTTCAAGAGAAACCAGCAAGGTCCCTGACATTTCTGAAAACCAACAGCCAGAACGCCTGGATACGGTCAGGGCAAAGCTTTCTGGAAAGGAGCCCCAGAAATTCTACTGTGACCTCATGACTACTTATTCCCTTGTTCTACTCATCTTGGGATCCGGGGCATGGGCTAACTTTCCCTTAGGCCAAAACCCCTTAAAGCAGGCACTTGTGTAAGCTCAAGCTTTCAGGTGAAGATTTTTCTTCCAGCTGGGGTTTGTATTCTGTCCTTGAAACTCATAAACTCATCACTTAGGACCTGTGGGCACCAAGAGCATTCCGTTCTAAGCCTGCCCACTCAGAACACTGCAAGGATAAGAAGGGAAAACAAACTGCTCTGGCCCCAAGGGCAGTCATGAAAAGGCTAGGGCTTAGGCAGTGGAGGAGGCTGGACTGAACAACTCGATGGATCTTTCATGGATGACATTTTACCACCATGCAAATTACTGTGCACACCGCACACCTAACACATCCTCTGCTGGGCACACAGCATGGATGCCTCTTGTTTCCAGGGCAACCTCACCTGGGGTGGAGGGAGGCAAGCAATGGATGGGTGAAGCCTAATATATCTAAAAACTCAGGTCCCAGAAGTGAATGAACAATCCACTGGTACATGAACTCAGACCTACAGCTAGATCAAGCTGGTGAGGGTGAGGTATCCAGTGGGGGGAAATTTGTGGGTTAAGGCTCCAGCGCTTTCACTGAGTTATGGTGCCCTAGCCTTCCAGTTGCCCTAAATATCCTACTCACAGCACAACGAATCTTAGCTGGTCTCTGTCCCTCATTTCTTCTCTCACAAGATATCTATTAGATAAAATTCATTTGTTTTAAATGTTTCTAAGTCACGATTTTGGATCTTGAAACTACAACATCCATCATTACCGTCTTTTCTCTCTCTATTTATTTATTTATTTTTTTTAACAGAGGCAGTGAAGCACCCATAGGGAGAGAATCAAGATTCAGAGAATGGAGCTGATGAAAAGTCGCTAAAGCAGAAGACTATGCAGGGAGGGTACAAGAATAAGGTTTGGCAACATCCCCATAAAGAAGAAACCAGACTCCTTCAGTGTGTTCACTTTTCCTGGGAAGCTGGAGGAGTTTGGGGCCGAGGGAGGTATCCTCGGACCAAGGTCTTTCAGAACAAAGATTTTGTCTTCAGCACAGACAGCAGCCTGGATAGGGCAGAGGTGACTTGGCAAACCTGAAGAGGAGGCCTTGTCCTTGTAGCTCCTGGTGGGGTGCCAGGGTCAGTAGGGCTCGGTGGCTGTAAGGAGTAGAGCCTGTGGACTCTGTGAAGCTCCAGACATGTAAGATAATATTTTAAGTGCTCACTTCTCCCTGAGCTCTCTCTGACACTGCAGCTATTAAGGCTAAGCCCCAATCCTCCAGAGGTGAGCTCTGAAGTCCAATGGCACAGTCCTACCGCTAGAGTGAAAGAGAAGAGCTCTATGGAGACTCTGGGGCAATAACTTTGGCTGCCAGGGTAAAAGTGTGTTCATGAATTAATGGCTGGACATCTTCAATTTACTCATTTAGAGATAAGAAGGAAGGCAGACCAAAATTAAACTAACACATAACGAAGACCATGGTGAAAAGGACATAGAATTGAGGAGGGAAGGGTTACTAAGCAGGAAGCTTAACCAAAGCTTTTAGGGGAATTTAAAAGGCTTCATGATTCCCAAAGACCCCTGCTCCCTCATCATTTTTCAACTATGTATTCCCTACCTCAGCCACACCCCACTAAAAGGTACCCACAGTCTACATGGGTTTGCTTCAAAGAGCAGGGACTTCAAGATTTCAAGGAAAGGCTAGGAACCCAAGTGGCCCCATTATCAACCTAGGCTTTTGAAGCTGGCACTATGTCAAATAAGAAGCTTCGTAGAAAGAGGTCTTATTTTCTTCCTTCCTCTTCCCCTCCGGAAATAAAAGTAGGTTGTAATTCTCCTGCCCCCATTCCTTGGTGATCTCAAAAAAGGAACTGAAAGAGCTTCTTGGATCACCTTGTCAAATTCTCAGCCCAGTATATCAATGCCTGTGCCTTCTGTCCTGGCTACTGCTGCTATGGTGACTGAGGCCAAAACCGGTTACTGGGGCCAGGGGGTCTTCCAAAGTGGTTCGGAAGTCAGCGACTAGAGTCCTGCAGGGCAGACACTGAGCCCCTGGGGCCAGGGGAGTGAGAGGAATTGGGGAGGTCAACTCCTGAGCCCCTAGGAAGGAGTTCTAGGAAGGAGAGTGGCGGGAACACCACAGGTGCAGCAACAGACCCGCACAGGCCAGAAGGGGAGAAGGCCTGGAGGGGGCTCCGCATGGCCACAATCTGAGCTTTGTGTTGAGGGCAGAGCACCCTCAATGTGAGCTCGGTGTGCTCGCCAAGAAACTTCTGGGATCATAAAAGTGCCACTGGGCATAGAAGATCACAGAGGGTTCAGGGACAGGGGCCTTGCAGGGGCGAGGACCAGAACTGGTTTCTTCTACCTCGTGCCCGAAAATCAAGACTGTTCCTGGGCCAGGTGTCTCGACCCCTCTCCATTTCCTTTCTTGTTTTTTAGTTGGCCCCAGCATCCGAGGCCCGCGAAAGGACGCCGAGAAGCTGAAATGCAGCAGATAGAATTCCCGAGACCCGCACGGGCCACACAACAGCCCACCTGTCTTCCATTCCTCGAAGCCCGATTCGGCCAGTACCCAGCGTCTCCCCTCGCGCGCTTCTGCGCACAGCGGTGGCGCCGCAGGACTCAGGGTCCCTCCAGCTCTCCATCAGGGAGCTGGCAAATGCGCCTACTCAGGCAGAGGGGAAGGCAGAAGTTGAAAATACGTGGACAGAAATACCTGCTCGTCCCAAAGGGCGGGGAACTGCAGGCCGAGGGGGCCAGGGAGAACTGGGGGAGGCGAGGGGAGAACAGAGGCGACTCCGCACACCCGGCAGCGGACCCGCGACCTCGCTCGCCCAAGCGCGGACTCACCACAGTGCCCCGTGCGCAGGCGGCGCCGGCGGGACTTACCCCAGAGCAGAGTGAGCGGCTTGGCTTTGGGGATGAGCACCAGGGAGTACACGGCCGCCAAGTGGAGCAGGCTCATCAGGACGACGTTCCTCCAGACGATGTCCTGCCGTTGCCCGCGTGCGCCCGGCCTCTCCGGGCCGCCGCCGTCCGGCGAGCCCTCGACCCCCGCACGGATCCCCTCTGTGGCGTGGCGGAAGGGGACTTCGCCCCCGGCCGCGGCCCGGCCTGGCATGGCTGGGGAGAGGTGGGCGCGGGCGGCAGCGACAGCAGGCAAGCTGAGCTCTGCTGGCGCGGAGCTCTCCGGTGGGGGCGGGGGCTTCTGCCTTTTAGGGGGGAATCTCGGCACCTCTCGTCCCGCCTTCCCGGCGCTCCTCTGGTTCCTTCTCTATTCCGCGGGCGTTCAGCGTGGCCTAAGGATGCACATCTGGGAGCCCGGCATCTGTTGCTGGCGTGTCGCCCATGCCGCTGCCGCGCTGAACTCGGCTGCAAGGAAGAGGGGGCGAGCGCGACAGGAGGGAGGGGCGCGGAGGAGCTGGGGGAGAGGGTGTGGAAGCAGAGCCCGTAGAGCGGCGGGGGAGGCAGCCCTCGGAGGGAGCCCGGAAGAAAGACCTGCATAGCTACAGCCAATCACGATCGCCCGTGGCGCTCTTAAAGAGAAAGGCGCCCCCTTGGCCTCCGCTACCCCGGCTCCCCAGGGCCGTACGCCGTAGCCCGCTGGGCAAGCGGTTGGCAGCTGGGCCCGGGGATGGGTGGGATGGGACTCCCCACACAGGGAGCCCGCTGAGCGGCTCACAGCACTTCTGCTGTTGTTGGGTGTTTCCGTTCCAAAAAAATACCTTTCCCTTTTGAAAAGCTTTTTTTTTTTTTTTTTTTTAAACCTTTGAAGTCACAGGCCACCCATATTGAACAATTTAAAACACTTGCCCGGAGTCGCAACACAAGTTAAGGCCAGATCCAAGATGAAAATCAGAAGTCTCTGTGTCTGCCGGTTCGTATGGCTCCTTGGGCCTGTGGAGGGATGGAAAGCAGCCGCACAACTCTTAGGCAGCTGTAGCGAGACACACAGTAGGTGCTCAGTTAGTGTCTATTAGATGGTACATAAATGATTTGGGTGGCTGGTTAGTAGCCAACAATTGCCCTTCCCACCGGGCAACCTATGAGCCCGTCAGCTCTGTTCACGGCAAATTCTCAGCTAACCCGCGCGCTTGTGGACTCTTTAGCAAGCATCATTGAGAATGGGGCTTTAGAAAAAAATCACCCAGAATGTCCCAAGGAAAATTAACCTGTGAAAAAATCATGTCTGCTTATTCTTCTCCTCTTAACACAGATAATTTAGAGCTATACAGAGGGAGCCCTAATTGCATAGAATGCAGAGAAGGGTGCCCTAGATGTGTCGCAAGCAAGTGTGGCTGCACCTGCAGGCAGATAACAGAAGAAAAAGGGCTCAGGCCTGGAAGCCAGAGGCTCTGAGTGCTAGTTCTAACTCACTGTGATCCAACTCAGCTATCTAGGCACAAATTTCTTTACCAGGGAAACAGAATTAATCCTTATTCTTCCTTCCAGCTTGTAAATTCTATAAATGTGAGCTTTAAGGGGTACTATTATGTGATAAATAAAGCTAATTTTTTGGATTACCCATTCCAGGATTCCAGGAGAGGGGGGAAAAATTACAAAGAACTGTCTGCATGGAAGGGCCATATATAAGCATCTTATTGTTAGCAGACTTTAACCAGTCCAAATAGCCAGATAAGATAATGTCTAATTTAAAACTGAAACAAGGTATATGGCTGTGGAATTGTGGCCACTGAGCCAGTGTTATGGTGGTGCTTCAGATAGAGCTGAAATTTTAGAATGAAAGGAAATTTGCCTGGGGACCAGACAAATGTCGGCACAGAATAATGACCAGTGAGACAATAGAACATGAAACTGGAGGGTATAAATTCCATCAGCCTGCTCAGCCTGGGCTTTATAATGAACCAGTTTTTCTTCTCATGCTCCCACTGTTGCCCCTCCCACCTGACCCACATACTCTCTGTGGCCCTCAAGTTTAGACTGTCCTTTCTCTCTGGAGTAGACTAGCTGCTTGGCCAAGACCTCTCTCTGGGTTTTTGTAATGATTCATCCCATCCTCCCTCTAACCTTTCAATCATTTGTTTGGCATTTATGGGGCATCTGCTATGTGCCAGGACTAGTGGACACTGAGGATACAAGGATGAAAAGGTATGGCCCCTGCCCCCAAGAAGGGAAGACAGGTCAAACTAATGTAACCTCTTGGCTATAACATTGGAAGGGCGAGGTCCAGTCCATTACCTGGCGGCGGGGTGGCGGGGGGTTGGTGGGGTGAGGGTGGAAATATTCCTACTAGGCATCAAGAATATATACAGAGTTTAGAGGAGGCAGAAAAATAGTTCTTTATTTGGGCCCTGGGTACTTTATTAGATAAGCTACTGTATCTTGAATCTATCTTCCCTGGGTCAGACTGGGTTGAGCCAGTCATTTCAGCTGATTGGACTAAGGGTGGAGATTGAGATGTTTGTTTGTGGGTTGGGGAGAGGGGAAGTGCTCTTTAGGTATTTCAGACCCTACCTACAAAAAGATGACTGAAGGAAAATGGCTCTTCCAGATTTCCCCTCAGAGTGAAACCTCTACAGGTATAAGATATACTCTTGCTAATAATGACTGTTCCCTGTAGTGTATTATGCCGTCAGGGCTACTGTTTCTTTTCTCATCTAAGGTCTTTGCCAAAGACTTTAGTATATTTTCTTAGCTTCTGGTCAAGACCCCAGAAGTGGATGAGTGTTCATCTCTACCCCTGATGGGGCAAACGTAACAGTAATCCTTACCCTGTCAACCAAATAATGACCAAAAATGTGATAAGAGCCCTAATAGTGGTATATGGAAGACAAAGTGGAGGCATAAAGGAGGGAGTAATTTGCACTAGAGGGGGAGGAAGAGAGGTGACATCTGGGTAAGAATTTTTTTTAAAACTTGATTAAAATTGTAAATTGTGGTAAAATATACATAATTTTAACCAACTTACCCCTTTTTAAGTGTTCAGTTCAATAGCACATTCACATCGTTGTGGAACAAATCTCCAGAATTCCTTTCACAAAATGGAAACCATACACGTTAAACAATTCCCCATTTCTCCCTCTCCCTAACCCCTGGCTACTACCATTGTACTTTCTGTTTCTCTGGGTTTGACTACTTTAGATATCTCATATAAATCAAATCATATTATTAGCATTTGTCTTTTTGCAGCATGACTAGCTTATTTCAGTTAGTATAATGTCTTCAAGGTTCATCCATGTTATAGCATGTGTTAGAATTTCCTTCTTTTACAAGGCCAAATATTTCATTGTATGTATAGAACACATTTTGTTTATCCATTCATATCACAATGGACACTGTGATATTTTCTACCTTTTGGCTATTGTGAATAATGCTGCTGTGAACATTAGTTAACAACTATCTCTTTGAGACCCTACTTTTAGTTTTTTTGGATACGTATCCAGAAGTGGTATTACTGGAGTTTATAATAATTCTATTTTATTTTTTTTTAGAACTTCCATACTGTTGCCCATAATAGCTGCACCATTTACATTCCACCAACAGTACACAAGGGGTCCAACTTCTCCACATCCTAACACTTGTTATTTTCTGTTGGTTTTTGTGTGTGTGTGTGGGGGGGGGGGTGTGTGTTTTGGTTTGATTTGGCTTTTAGCCATTCTAATGGATATGAGGTGATATCTCATTGTGGTTTTGATTTGCATTTCCTTAATGGTTATTGATGTTGAGCAACTTTTTCATGTGCTTGTTGGCCTTCTATATGTCATATTTGGAGAAATGTCTATTCTAGTCCATCTTTTAATCAGGTTGTTTTTGCTTTTGAGTTCCAGGAGTTTTTTATATCCTTTGAATATTAGTTCCTTATTTGATGTGTGGTTTGCAAATATTTTCTCCAACTCCATAGGTTGCTTTTTCACTGTTGATTGTCTTAATATAGTTTTAATTTTTACATAGTCCAATTTATCTATTTTTACTTTTGTTACCTGTGCTTTTGGTGTCATGTCTAAGAAATCTTTGCCAAATCCAATGTTAGGAAGCTTTTCCCTTATGTTTTCTTCTAAGAGTTTTACAGTTTCAACAATTAGGTTTAGGTTTTTGATTCATTTTGAATTAATTTTTGTATGTGGTGTAAGATAAGAGTCCAAGTTCATTTTTTTTTTTTTTTTTGCATGGGGTATCTAGTTTTCCAAATACTATTTGTTAAAAAAAAAAACCAAAACTCTGCTTTCCCCATTGAATGGTCTTGTCACTCTTGTTGAAGAGCATTTGATCATATACTTCAGGGTTTATTTCTGGACTCTATCCTATTCCATTGGTCTTTATGTCTATCTTTATGCTAGTACCACTTTTTTTTGAGTACTGTAGCCTTGTAATAAATTTTGAAATCAAGAACCATGAGACCTCCAACTTTGTTCTTCTTTTTCAAGATTGTTTTGGCCATGCAGATTAAGATTCCATATTAATTTTAAGATGGATTTTTCTGTTTCTGAAAAAATGTCACTAAGATTTTGCTAGGGATTGCAGTAAATCTGGAGATTACTTTGGTTGGTATTGGCATCTTAACAATTTTAAGTCTCCAATCCATGGATATGGGATGTCTTTCCATTTATTTGTGTCTTCTTTAATTTCTCTCAGCAACATTTTGTAGTTTTCAGTGTACAAATCTTTTGCCTCCTTGGTTAAGTTTACCAGGTAAGGATTGTTCTGCGATATACTAAGAGAAAGCCATCACAGCTAGAATGCCTAGATTCTGGCCAGCAGTATGTGCCTTGGAGAAGTTGCTTCAGATAAAGAGGATAGAATGAAGACAGAAGATAGAAAGTGTTAGATGGTAATACCACCTACAAAAACTGTGTGTGAGAGATGCTTGGTGAGGTATGTGGTCTGCCATGGTCAGGAGGCTTCATGGAGGTCACAGCAAAAAAAGCCCCGAAGATGGAATGACCTGGCAGAGACTCTTGGATAACTGTGTAAGAAAAGACTCAGAGATGGGAATGAGCCTGGCAAGCTATCTAGCTAAGGCTGTAGTCCTTCAAAGAATGAATACCAAGATTTAAAAAAATCGTGTCAAAATATTTATGGAGAATATGCTGGTAATAGAGATGAAATAAAGAGAAAGAAAATATCCATTCTCGAAGTTAGAGATTTACAGTGATTCTCACATCTATGCTTTTCTTAAGGAAATTTAGATTTGGGCTACAGGGGCTACATGTGAAATGATCCTGGTTTGGCATCCGACAACCTGGGTTTGAGTGTGGCCCCACTACTCTGAGTTAGCAAGTCTCTGTGATTTGGAAACAATGATAGTCTCTTAGATTTTTATTTTCATCCTATGTAATCTAAGCATTCAGACAGAACTATGCTGGGAATCCTCTCTATGCAATTTGCCTAATAATCTAACTTCAGTTTTTTCATGTATGAGATGGAGATGATACTGCCTACCTCACAGTAATAGAGCTTGGTACAGGATTTAGTACCTAGTAACTACTGAATAATGTGGGTATTTTCTATTGTTTTTTAAATCATCCTAGAGAGATGGAC